TTTTAATCCTCGGTTCCGCCCATTCTTTGAATATTACGAGAATTGAAATCATTATTAACGAGAATATTAGAGTCGAGACATTGGTTTTGTGAATGCTTTTCACGATTTCAATCCAATTCTGAAAATAGGTATACAATTAAATTTTAATTAATATTTGCGTCAAATGGTGTCAAAGAAGAAGACATTACAAAACATATAATGTACAGTACAGTACAAATGTATATTTATCATTTTATAGATCTCGCAAACAAAGACATCATTTCTTATTAAAACACTTTAATATTCAAGGATTTTCAAATAAAAGCATTGAATTCTGTATTAATCCCAGGAATTAAATTTTTATTAATTATTGGGTCTTCAAATAATGGCATTGAATTTATTAGTTAACACTAAATATCTTAAATCTTTTAACTCACAAAATTCTGTGTACTGTAGACTCAAGTTTAGAGAGATTAACCATAGAAATGCATAATTTAAATGGCATTAATTGATTAGCAAAATTACATGTATCACATAAATTATATGTTCACATTTAAGCAAATTTTCATTTAGGATGTTTAAGAGCTATATACTGTATTTAAAACATAACTAAATTATAGTCTTAATATATTGGGATTAGTATAATAAAATAAGTGCATATTTATAAAAACACAATTGAATGAAAACATACATAAATAAGTTTGAAGGGACCGCTCGGTTGGTTGGGAAGCGAGAGACCGAGGATTGAGTTGATCTGAGAGGTGGACACATGAAAGGCCACTGCCGTCGAGAAACCCGATACTAAATGGTCAGAGAGTATGAGCGACAATGAGCCCAAACACAGCGAACCCATTGCTATTTGTATTAATCCAGTTGTGATGCAAACAGTGGTGAGTGCCTCCAACTGAGTTGGCGGCCAATTGGTGTGAATCGTCTCATTAGTGGTCTCATTAATAATGGGTATACGGAAGGGAACGGCTCCTAACTTAGAGGCCGTGTTGTGAAGCATAAGACTCGCGACAGCAAAAGAGCCGATCGATATATTAATTAAATAGTATTTAATATTAAGTGAAATTAAATTAAATTATGATTGATTTTGTGTATGAATCAAAGGCTACAGAAATGTATGTCTGCAGGCATTGGAATTGAAAATTATTAATTAGTTTTCCATCAAATGCTCAAAATTGTTGCAAAACTGAATTTTTGGTTTTGTCCATTATTTACATTATATTTAAGAATTTTTAAAACTGATTTTTAAAATTTCAAATGTTTTTATAGAAAATAAGCAATTTTTAAAATAAATATCTGTAAATTGTATTAGTTTTATCTAATATATAAATGTAAGATATTTTATATATCTATCAGTTCCATAATTTATTACTTTATAATTAACTATCACTCCGTTTCATCATTTGTTATTTTATAAAAAGAAATTAAATTATTTTTAACTAAAAACAAAAGCAAAGGTGTGTTTTCATAAAGCAAAACAAAAGTACTCGACATTTGTTTTGTGAATATAAATTTTATTGCTTTCCAAAGAAGTCTATTGGCTTTGAGATATAATAATAATTTATTACAATTCAAATAAATTAAATTAATATTTTGGATCCGTTTTTAATGCAATATTTTAGATGCAATACAGTATTATGTTTGTTATTAAGAAGTCTTAAAACAAATTGAATATTGTATTATCGGTTGTGAACCCTTTTTTAGTCACTTCTGCGCCCAAAATGATTGATACATTTCATATGTAATAAAAACCATAATTTATATGAAATGTTTTATAATTTATAGTTATAGGAATAAGACGTGACACAAAACTTAAACAGACTTTTTACTTGTTAAACGAATAAAGACTTAATCCATAATAAATTATTCTTTAATTATATTCTAATGTTATTCACTTTTTCTTATATCTAACAAATATATTGAAACCACAATTTAAATACAATAGCAGTGAAAATATTTAACTCTTTTAATACCTTCATCCAAATGATCAGATAAACGATTACGATAACTTCATTACCTAGGCTTTATGCCTAGTTTGCCATAGTGTTTGTGTCGAGAGCTATAACTTCTACTCTATTACTTCTCGAGTAGACTTTGCTGTGGTTTCTTAAGCGAGTTAGTCAAGTTGTTGAATAGACTCATCACTTTTAGACGCGATGCCATCGATTGGGAAGAGTTTGATCTCAAATACCAAAGACAATCGACACAAACCATACCATTTCACAGAGAGTTTTCACATGAGCTCAAGAAATGGTGGCAACGGTTCTCAATCACTGCGTTTTTGATATCATTGTTTCCCATCACTAAATGGTTGCCAAAATACAACATCAAAACGGATTTGTTTCCCGATTTTATTGCGGGAATTACGATATCTATTCTTCATATTCCTCAAGGGATTGCATATTCACTTTTGGCCGGTTTGGAAGCTGTGAACGGTCTGTACATATCGTTTTTCCCGGCACTCATCTATACATTTATGGGCACTTCTCGGCACATATCGATCGGCTCTTTTGCTGTCGCGAGTCTTATGCTTCACAACACGGCCTCTAAGTTAGGAGCCGTTCCCTTCCGTATACCCATTATTAATGAGACCACTAATGAGACGATTCACACCAATTGGCCGCCCACTCAATTGGAGGCACTCACCACTGTTTGCATCACAACTGGATTAATACAAATAGCAATGGGTTCGCTGTGTTTGGGCTCATTATCGCTCATACTCTCTGACCATTTAGTATCGGGTTTCTCAACGGCAGTGGCCTTTCATGTGTCCACCTCTCAGATCAACTCAATCCTCGGTCTCTCACTTCCCAACCAACCGAGCGGTCCCTTCAAACTTATTTATGTATGTTTTCATTTAATTGTGTTTTTATAAATATGCACTAATTTTATTATACAGTACTAATCCCAATACATTAAGACTATAATTTAGTTATGTTTTAAATACAGTTGTATATACTATATACTATATAGCTCTTAATCATTCTAAATGAAAATTTGCTTAAATGTGAACATATAATTTATGTGATGCATGTAATTTTGCTAATCAATTAATGCCATTTAAGTTATGCATTTCTATGGTTAATCTCTCTAAACTTGAGTCTACAGTACACAGAATTTTGTGAGTTAAAAGATTTAAGATATTTAGTGTTAACTAATAAATTCAATGCCATTATTTGGAGACCCAATAATTAATAATAATTTAATTCCTGGGATTAATACAGAATTCAATGCTTTTATTTGAAAATCCTTGAATATTAAAGTGTTTTCATAAGAAATGATGTCTTTGTTTGCGAGATCTATAAAATGATAAATATACATTTGTACTGTACTGTACATTATATGTTTTGTAATGTCTTCTTTTTTGACACCATTTCACGCAACTATTAATTAAAATTTAATTGTATAACTAAAACTTTATTTTCAGAATTGGATTGAAATCGTGAAAAGCATTCACAAAACCAATGTCTCGACTCTAATATTCTCGTTAATAATGATTTCAATTCTCGTAATATTCAAAGAATGGGCGGAACCGAGGATTAAAAAGCGATTCTCATTCCCGATACCAATCGACTTATTAGTGGTTATATTCTCGACTCTCAGCGCATGGATTATTGATGTAAATCATAAATACCAAGTTGTTGTGATCGGATCAGTGCCCACGGGGTATGCATTTCGCTATAACAACCCTTTACACTCATTTACATTTAATGACACAAATAATTAATTCAGTTTTCCCATCAGTTCTTTTCTCTTTACCGATCATAACATAATCTCTTAATAACTTATTGAAGGAAAAATCATTTATTATTACACTATATATCGAATATTAAGTCATAAAAATATCTGCAAATTATATTTTATATCTAATGAATAGAAGGGGTTCTCATAAATATTAATCGTTTTCTCACTGCACTAATAGTATCAACAGCAATAATATAGTGATTAAATTCAAATATTATATCATATTAATACATAACTGCATAAATACGGCACTAAATTTTCAACATATATCTTAAACCAATTAAAATATTTGTCGATATTTTTATGATAACTAATTTTAAAATGATTTTCAATGCGATTACGAAGCATATAATTTATATGCTTTACTTTGCGTTTATTATATGTTAAAACCACTAATTGTATCGCAGACTACCGGACCCAACAATCCCGCGCCTGGACTTTGTGGGCGACATATTGATCGACTGTGTAATCATAGGAGTGGTCACGTTTGCCGTATCGCTGTCTTTGGCCAAAATATATGCTAAAAAACACAAATACGATATCGACCCAAACCAAGAGCTCATAGCTCTGGGCTCTGCTAATGTGTTTTCCTCCTTCTTCTTGGCATATCCGGCGTCGGCCGCCCTCTCCCGCAGTACTATACAGGAAAAGATCGGCGGAAAAACACAAATCGCTGGCATTTTCTCATGTCTTGTCATTCTCTGTGTCCTCTTATTATTGGCTCCATTTCTCTATCATTTGCCAAAAGTAATCGCAATTTAAATTATTTTTATATAGATTAATTGCAAATATACAGTACTAATTATTATTTTATTGATGGTATATTTGTAGTGCACTCTCGCCTGTATTATATTAGTTGCATTGAAAACAATGTTTATGCAAATCGGAGACTTCAAGAGGATTTGGTTAGTTTCTAAATTGGATGCGGTCAGTTGTTTCCACTATTTTATTGTTCCAAATTTCATTAAAATATAAACCGTTTTGTTAATTATTATCCATAGACTGCATGGATGGTAACATTCCTGTCAGTTATATTCTTAGACGTGGACTTAGGACTCATTGTTGGCATTTGTATATCAATTCTTGTGATTCTCATTAGACTCGTAAAGTAAGTCGTTTCTCATTTTACACAATCATTATATCGTGTTATGAAATCATTATTCACTTATACATTGTATATATTGAAATTCAGGCCCACGTATTCCCTGTTGGGTTGTCTGCCTTCCACTGAAATCTATGTCGACATTAAGAAGTATTCAAAAGCCCAAGAGGTTTATGGCATTAAGATATTTCGCTTTTGTTCTCCAATTTTTTATTTAAGTACCGATAACTTCAAGACAAGAATTTTGGATTTGGCCAACACTTTAATCAATAGGTAATCACTAGTTAATTATTACTTACTCCTTAGATATTTGTCATTACAAATGTATGATAAAATTGATGATATAATGTGTGTATAAATAACTTAAATAGCGATCATTCAAATGAAAAGTCACCGCAAATAACACCGGAAGCGCTAATAATAGATATGTCTTGCGTGCCTTTTATGGACAGATCGGGTGTCGACACAATCGCCGATGTCTTCAAACTATTAAAAGAGCAAAATATCAATGTATGTGTGGCTTCGTGTCCAATACATTTGATCCAACTTTTTGAAACCACCAAATTCTTCAATACTATTAACAAAAGCTGTTTCTATCCCTCAATTCACGACGCGGTCGTCAGTTTGAGATGATTTATCATTTACTCAAACACTCATCTTTTCATTCAACATTCAGTGCCATTAAATAACACTATTCATGTAAAACAATAACTATAAAACACATTGAATATTTTGAACATGTAAATTAATTTATTGATTTTTAATTGTGATGATATCATATAAACTCATGTGATGATCGATTCAACCATTTGATAATTACATTCTATGTTTGGTTCAATTAATGTTAATTCAATATTTACGATCACAATATACCGGTTATACAGCTTTAAATACTGTATTTGAAACTAAAATCATTTTTTCTTCAAAATCAAAAAATATTTACATAACTATTAAAATTAAAGTGTATTGATGTATTGTATATTAACAACGATATTAATTTAAATCAACAATTGAATGCATTGTATATTTACATTTAATAAATTAATTGAAAACTATAGTTTTATTGTTTCATATTTTTAGTAACAAATCCTCAATTTAGTCAAAACCAAAAATATGTATTTTTCAATGTTATGACAATTGTTTTGCTCATAAATCAGATCTAAAAACGAGACTTTTCTAAATATGAGAAGTTTTAACTCATTTTGATGACAGTTTTGGACTAAATTCTTACTTTTCCATCACTGATGAATGGATTACAATATTTTGTGAGAATATATGTTACACAAGACATACGAGTCATTGAGAATTTCAATGCCGTCTAAATATAAACATATTCCTAACGAATACGACTAAACGCCTGCAAACAGAGCATCGTTTAGACAAACTTTTAAATCACATAAAAGTTTCTTTATATGAAAGTGTAAATGAAGACAATCTCACTCTTTTCACAAATGGCTTATTGTTTTCAAATTCAATGTTTTGAATAAATTATTTAAATATTCTGTTGACATTAAACTAGTTTGAAATGTTTTTATAGCCTATATTGCGATTACAAATTGAAATCAAAACTGAACTCAATTTCACAGATAAATCGCTTTCAAAGTCGGACTTATTCTCGTTAACCAAAACAAAATTCCTTTACATTTCTAATGTAAACCTTTTTCCAATTTTTTGTTCGTTTATTTTGTAGACATAAATCCATTAATTATTTTTAATAGATAAACATTTCTTAATGAAATAATTATCTTTAATATCAATAAATAAATAAAATTTTCGATTTAAAACACAGATAAATATATAATTTAAAATAATTGATTGTTTATAGAAAACATGTGGCATTACTAATGAGTTAACAAGAATACAATAACAGAATATTCTTTAAATACTGAGTTAAAGTCAGGCCAAACCATCTTAAGAACGCCTACACATTATTCTCATCTTTCAAATAAATTATTTTATAACTTATAACAAATAAATATATTTTTGATATTTTTATTTAATAAATTTACTAAAATTAGTCTAGTTTGTAGAATTTAAAAGAAATGTAAAAACATTATAATATCACTAAATTAGATGGAGAGACAGAGACAGGTGTGAAATGCTAGTGTTTGCAACGAGAGCTCATTCAACCACAACTGGTTGTCATACGATCATTGAATTTATAAATATTTTGCACTATATTTAAAAACTACGAAATATTCTTCTTCTTGTCTATCACTTGTAAGACTGACTCTAATTCTGACATAACCTCTAACGGCATGACACCAACCAAACAACAATCTATTTTGTGTGTTAGTCTTCTCATCCCAATCATTCCATGCGATCTCTCTCTCTCTCTCTCTCTCTCTCTCTCTCTCAACTTAAGAAATATATGTTTAATAACTAGATTACGAACGCTTTGTGTGCTCTTTACACAACTCTCTCTCTCTCTCTCTCTGACGCAAACAAAGTGCTGGATTTGAGCCCACAATTCACTTATCATTTACTTTGAATTCTTTCGTCATAAAAATTCTTTCACTTTCTTTTTTCACTTTAACTTTTCTACAAGAAAAGTATTTTTTGAAAAAACTATTTGTAAATACTTTTCGCATATTTTTATATGCGTTCACATCGAGAGTGGAAAGAGTTGTGTAAAGAGCACACAAAGCGTTCGTAATCTAGTTATTAAACATATATTTCTTAAGTGCTCTGACATTGAATTCATTGATTTGTTGCGAAAATTATTGGCGAAAAAGTTTTGTTTTTGTGCTTTTATTTTTTGTCAACTATTTATTAGCGTATATTATGTACTCATCTGGCAGTTGGTGGCGAAACCCATCGCCTTCTTGTACGCCAAATGAGTTAATAGACATCATAACAAAACCAAACGGCGGCTATTATGTGGTGCCCACCGAACCCTTCAACGAAGTCTTTCCTCGACTTTATATCAGCGATGGGTTAGAATCAAACACTTCTTATCTCCTAATTATTAATATTTTGTTATTTTTTAATCAATGGAATGATTGTGTAGAACGACAGCACTCTGTCTGTCACTTCTTCGGCGAATGGGAATAACTCATGTTCTAAACGCCAGTTGGGGTAAAGACAAGTCGTTTTGTTTGGTCAACACATCTCAAGAGTTTTACAAGAGCTCTGACATCGATTTCCTTGGCGTCGAAGCACTCGATATATCGATATATCCTTTATATAAACACTTTGGAAAATCGGCTGAATTTATACACGAAGGTCTGATTGGCGGCGGAAAAGTGTTGGTCCACTGCGGGGAAGGCATCAGCCGATCGGCCACTCTTGTGTTGGCGTATCTGATGATCAAATGTGGTTATACCGCTCAGGAGGCAGTGGCACACGTCCGCACACATCGATCCATATTTCCCAACATTGGTTTTCTGCGACAATTGTGTGAACTTAACGATCAACTGAACCACAAAAAGTCCAG